GAGCTTTGGGGCAGACACAAGCCCGGCACGTGAGCGCATGGGGGGACAGCGGTGCCCATGACCTCGAATTCGCGTCCTCAGGGCTCCTCACAGTGCACGGTGGGTGCGGGCTCTGTGTCAGGAACAGATGTGTGGCTGAAGAGAGTGCAGGGGGTACACTGTGAAATACTACGCAGCCGTGAAGAAGGGTAAACTCGAGTCCCACGTGGGAAAATGGACGCAGCTTGAGACCCTCCCAGCAGCTGGAACGAGTCAGATTCATGGGCTTGCGCGCTGCCCGGTGTCTCTTCTGGGGGGAAAACGTGGATAAAGAGCACAAGGAAAGAGAGATGGCGGGGCAGGGAGAGAGCTCTCACAGGAGGAGACACGTGCTGGGCGTGGTGGGGGCGCAGGGCTGTGATCCCAGCACTCGGGAGGCTGAGGCAGGAGGGTCGCTGGGAGGTTGGGACCAGCCTGCGCTGCACAGTGAGCTCCAGGCGGCCTGAGCTGCCTGGCTGCGGGCGCAGGGCAGGAGCCGGGTGGAGCTCAGAACAGGAGCTGCTGGCCTCGGTCACCGGTCACCGCCCGGCGAAGTGCAGCTACCCTAGAGCTGTTCTGAGCTCCACCCGGCTGTTTACTGCCAGCCGCCACCGGGCACCGCAGGGAGAGGATGTGCCACGCCCTGGCCGCGGTGGTGTCGCAGAGCCTTCTCCCGGGGTGCTTCCCCGCAGGGCTGGGGGGGCGACGGCTCGGGCGCAAACACGGGGTGGGGCTGGGCACACAGGGCTGGGCACCCCAGCAGCGCGCCTCAGGGCCGGGTCGGGCCTGCGGCAGGGCGCCGCCTGCGACCCCGCCACCTGGGAGGCTGAGGCAGGAGGATCGCCGCGAGTTCGAGGCGGACACAGAAGCAGAGACGCCCCCGCGCGAGCGGCCCCGGCCTCGCTGGCCCTCCCAGGGCCTGACTGCCTGCTCCCGCGGCGGCCGCCACTGGAGGGGAGGGCCCTGCCGTCCACATTTTAATTTTATTTTTTCCTTATTTTTAAAATATCCGGGCGAAACGCCTACGCCACGTGACGTCTCCGCTTAGGAGCACCAACCGCATTCACACATTGGGGAGCCACCGCCCGCGCCTGGGTCCCTCGAGCTCCCGCGCCCTCGGGCTGCTGCCTGGCCTAGCTACCTCCCCGTCCCCTGGCCGTCCCTGCCACCCGCCATCCCTGTGGGTTTTCCTGAGGCCCGCATCCCCCAGCAGCGGGATTCACATGCCCTCCCTTCTCTAGAGCGCGTCACACTGCACGGCCAGTCTGTGCACGTTTTCTTTTTCACAGGTGTGTAGTATTCCAACACAGTTTCTTTTTCGTGGGTGTGTAGTATTCCGCCCCCGGGACGGGTCGCAGGGTAACTGTGGGCCCTTGTCCGAACATGAGGCGGGACTGGCGGGTGCGCTGGCTTGGAAAGGGCAGTTCCAAGTCTGTTCCTGGGAAACGCGGCGGGCTCCTGACGCAGCCTCCAGGCGAAGAGTCACGGCTGGCAGGTTGGATGTGGAAGAGGCAGCACTCTGGGCAAGGGGGAGGAGCTCAGCCCTCCGCCTCGCCTGGCGTCGCCCGCCCGGGTGGCCTGCGGGGCGCGGCTCCTGCGTCCCGGCTTTTCTCCTACATGGTCTCTCTCCTACCCCGCCCTGCCACGGTCCCCTGCAGCACCCCGGTTTCTTTATTGTCGTGAAAAGCAACCCCCCATGATCTCCTCGGCTGTGACCTTCAGGCATGCCG